TATATTATGTGAAAATAAATTACCAAAATAGCGAGCAAAATATCTATCAACTAAGCGAAAACAATTTTTAAACAACATTAGCTACAACATTAAATAGCGCAAAAGTGCTGAGTCCGGTTAAAGCATACGAAAAAGACCTAGATAAATCTATAAATATATACATACATATGTACGTATGTGTCACCAGTTAGAGCTATGATAATTGAAATATTATAACGGATTTGTAGACGAACTCCCAAGCAACAGAAATGTGTAAAAATCTTTTACCTGTACAGAGTATGATAACTGTAAGAAAATTTTCCAAACTTCGACTCACTCGAAATAGCTTCTTAATAGAAACGAAAAGAAATAAAACACGTTTAATTATCAAATAAGGAAAGTGAAATTGAAGAAATATTGCGCTGAACGATCGGGCAAATAGGCAACGTCAAATTATATATCTCTTATGTAATTTAATGGTTAACTGTGCAATGCGAGCCAACACAAAAACAACAAAAGAAAAGTCTTTTATGTACAACCATTTTGTTAACCCTAAAAAAAAAAAGAAAATAAAGTACATAAATGTCATTAAAATATAAAACTAACCATTGAATATACTAAATTCTAGTTTTGCGGTAATCTTAACTGCCTTATTACAAATTCGAATAGCTGTTATTGTTATCGATTATTAACTATTTGAGTCTGAGATTTGTTTTGTTTACCAACACTTTTTCAGCGAATGGATTTTGAATTTTTACAAATTTTTTTGCATAATTTATTTAAAGTAATTCCTACAAAGTGTATATTCAAAATACTATATAAAAGGCAAATTTGTTCACTTCTCAGGTTAACTAACTTAGAAGTAAGAGACTAGCATCCCACAATTTATTCATTTAACTAACTGTGAACCATGTTCAAATCTTTCTTTTCTTCTTGGGCGGTGCATCTTCATCATCTATATCCTCTGTGCTAGGCTTGAGAGTTATCTGTGTGAATGCTGGTGTGTTACGCACTGCATCTCGCCGGATGGGTTTTTTGTCAGTCTTCTGAAGAATTGGCATTGGTAGTATAAGTGATTGAGGCAATACCAATTCCTCCACAATATAAATATCAACATCCTCTAATTTGTTGACCTCGGGTTTCTCTATAAGTAGTTTAGCCTCTGGTGCTAAGGGTCTATGGATGTTTTCCGTACATTTAGCAACGGTATAATTAGAGCGTATGACAACTAGATCTATGCTAGAGCCAGATGACAGGTCATGCTCGATCCCGGCACTAACGGCATCGACAATCAGTTCGCGTGCTTCATCCTCGGTCAGGTCCGGCCTCCAGCGACTTTCCATGATACCCATGGCGCTGTACTGCCCGCTGCCAACGGAGGTGTACTGGCTTATCTCGGTGGTGCCATCGAAGTGCACACTGTAGAGGTGCACACCCTCGGGATCCACACCAGCCAGCACAAAGCTAATCATCATGCGGCCCATCGCGCTCATTAGTAGCGTCTTGGCCACCTGCTTGGCACAGACGGCGGGAAGGATACGCCCATTTGTCGCCTCACGTTGCATTGCGCACTGTTCTTCCATTAGTCGCGTCAACCTAGACAGATCGCTGGCATAGCCACTGCCACCACAGCTGCACAGAAGGAAGGGATAGTCGCGCAAGCGCTATCTGATCAATCGGACACTTACTATATATTACGCTGCAGTCGACAAATCTTTGGGGTTTCGTTCGAACTAACCAAATTGCTGCGCGTTGCTCTGGAATCCGTGGCAATCATGACGCCCGCATTAAAGAGTAAGCCCACCACAGTGGTGCCAGTGGTGATGGGCAACGGTGGCTTATAGCCCATCTTTAGCATCTCATCATTGCTGTGGCCGAACTCTTTCTCTTAGCTATTGCTCAGGCTGCTGTCCAAAGAAGACTTACCGCAAAAAATTCTCATAGTTGAAGCCCCCATAGCAGTGGTTCCTATTCCTGTTGGAGAAGTTGCCAAACATTGTGATTAGCGTATTTGTATGAATGATAATTGGATGTGAATGTTGGAATATGCGTTAGCTTTTGATATGGTATATAGTATGGTATTTATTTGTATATCAGAAAACTATGCCAAAGGCTACTTGAGATAGGGAACTGACTTCTATACCATTGACTGCTGTGGTTTTACTCCATCGGGTAAGTTTAAGTAGTCGATGACTGTTATTGATAATCGATATCATGTAATCGATTAAATATTTATTAATAATCTATACGTAAGCTTTGTCTCATACTATAAAATGTCTGGTTTAAATGAAAAGAAAACATTTAAAATACATTTTAATATTTTCTTTATATTAACTTCCATGAGCACATATAATTATAATCATAAAAAAAAAACTAAACTCTTTAATATTTCCAGGCAACCCAAGCCACAAGGCTGCGATTGAGTTTGGCTCGAAGCAATAATATCATATGAATATCATAAGTTACAATGATATTAGCCCAAATAGACCCATTTCTATTCACATACACAAACACACACACACACGCACGCACACAGAAACACTTACACGCGCACACACACTCGCTCATGTGCTCGAGTTTTGAAAACACAAACGCGCCAGGCTCCATTAAACAACCCACTGAACCTCCAACTCCAACAACCACCCCGCCTCCGAAATGTGGATGGGTCGGTTTATTGGGTTGGTTTCGGGTCGCTGCAAGCCAAGTATAAAAGTGTCAAAACTTTCTGTTCTGAGTTTGTTGTATCCTTTTGTTATTTGTACTCCGAGTGTACATATATACAAACACACACACACCAACACATAGAGTCAGACTCAGTGGCTTATATACCTCGCCAAGCTCCCACACAAAAAGAAATCTAACAAAAATCAACGAGTGAGCTAGAGAGAGAGAGAAAGAGCACAGGAGTGAGAGGGAGAGCACAACAAAAAGGCAGCAGCAACAGCAAAAACCATAAGCTTTTCCTTTATTTGCTCATTCTTTTTGTATGTATGTACATATACGTATGCCTGTGTGTGTGGGTGTTCAGGCTGGGTGTGAGTTGGCGAAAGCTGCGCCCAGTCAACAGCATTTGGATTTCGCCTGCTTTCAACTGCTGTGCGCCCGTTCAAAACACAAACGGAATGATAATGATGTGCGTTAAAAAATACATGGACACATTGGCAGTGGCATTGAGTGAGAGAGAGGGAGGGAGTAGTAGTAGAGAGGGAAGCGTGACGTGAGAGACGCCAACAAACATGGCGACTGAGCCAAAGTCAAACAAGTGTCTGCACCGCCCTACGGCACTGCTTCGATTTTTATTTATAGCTCAGTAAGTGTGTGCGAGTGTGTAGAATATACACGGGAAATGCCTCAACACAATTACAATAACTTTGACATGAAAAGTGGAACAATAAACCAAACCAAACCGAACCGAACTGAACCAAAACCAAATGGCATCGTTGACACCGCAGGCGGCGCCCAGTTGTCCAATTGTCCCTTTTTATATGATTGCCCCGCTGCCGCTGTCGTTGCCGTTGCCGCTGCCGCAGTCGCTGTTGCAGTCGACGTCGCTGCCTCAGCCGACAGCACACGCGCGCGCTGTTCACTTCCGCCTTGAACGTGTGCGTGTGAGAGTGTGGACTGCGGTGTTGTTGGTGTGTGAAATGAACCGACAGCCGTCGGCAAATGTTTCATAAACAACAACAAAACAGTTATTAAATAAAATAACAACAAGACGCGCAACACGAAGCAAACATTTATTGCTCTATAACCGTTGCTGGAGGGTCGCTTAGTTCACTCTTGCGCATTAGCAGGAAATACTAAGGTCAATACTTAATTAAAGAGGTTTATTGGGTGTTGAAGAGTAAACACGATACATTGGAATGAGCTTTGAAAGCTCACGAAGTCATAGGATAAGCATGAATACGAGCTTTAAGCTTTAGGAGATGATCAAATAGAATAGCTGAGCCACGAATCGATACAACGTGAGAGAGTTTTGAAAATCATTATATATAATAGTGCATATTGATATAATATATAATAGACAGAATTTGAGAAGCTATAAGCAATGAGGTAGTATTTAAAATAAATTATTTTTAGAATATGTATGTATACTCAATTTATTCACATTTAATCAACCTAACGAAACCATATTGCTCTAGCTAACGTATAAAGCTCACTTGCTGAAGGGCATGCATGTAAGGCATTATAAGCAATAGCAGTAAGTTATTTCCTGGGTATTACGCAGACACAAATCATACAAACACACACTCACACACATACACATTCATATTCACATTCACATTCATATGTTGGCTGCGCAGCCTTTTATTAATTTAGGTTAGTGACTTAAGTTTAGCATTTGCCGCAATTAACTTAATTAGAAATGCATTTTGTGGACCCAAGAAGCAAGAACGAGCCCACACATACACACTCAACTGTGTGCGAGTATGTGTGTGTATGTGCGTTCGTGTGAATGGGTGTGTGAATGTGAATGGTTGTGTTTTATGCGGAAGGCAGGAGCAAGTGGCTAAAGGACCTGCCACTGCCTGACAGGGCTATAAAACATTTGTGTCATTGCCTTTGGATTGAAGTGACTGCCACACATGCGTGTACATGTGTGTATGCTTGGTTTATTGGCTATTATGACAACAAATATACCCAGCGAGTAACATATTTATTAAAAGCATTTGTGCGATTAACTAAATGTGTTTCAGCATTGCGGCGAACACTGCGTATACGTAATACGCATTACGGATACGTGCATGCCAGTGAGTTTGTGTGTGAGTGTGTGTGCGTGTGGGTGTGATGGCTGTGCTATGCGAGTGCAAATGCGCGAGGAAGTCTAGCGAACCAAAAAAACAAATTTCAACAGTTTTAAGCCGGTTTCTTTTAGGTTTCAAGCTTTATTGTTTTTTTTTTTTTTTGAACATTTCTTGAAATAACCAAGTTTCGTGTGTTTTTTTCAAGCCCGACCTACGCAACGCACCGAAAAGTGTCTGGGCACCAGCTGCTGCAACTGACAAACGTTTGAAATTTTAGTTTGTTTTTTATTGCTCACATTTGTCAACTGGTTTGTTTGCCAAAAAATTAGTAATACAGGCCATATGACATCTTTTATGGTCTTGCCTCGAAGCGAATCGCTTTTATGTGATCGTGTTTGCAATATAACTAATTGTTAACTATATGTTACTAATGTTTCTTGGAAACAACTTGAAGAGTGACAAAATTAATGAACTATTGATGGCTACAGGTTGACTAATTGATTGAAGATCAAGAGCGCAGTTCAATATACATAATAGAAATATATATTACTCTTTATATATTAGCTTTCGAATTAGTATTACCAGTGGCATTAGCAATAACATTATTATTGGCATTAGTATAGTAACTAATTTTAGTATTAGTATTAGTATGACTACAAGTATTAGCATCAGTATTACTATAGCTCTGACCATTAGCACTAATATACGTAATACGAGTGCCTCAACTATTAACCTCATAATAATCCCAAATTCCCAAATATCTCTCAAGCGCAGCGACACTTCGGGCCGCAAGCAGCTTTCAATCTTAAGAGGTTTTCATTGAATCATTACATTATGGACTGGGTCAGGCGAGCGTCTTTCGCTGCTTAGCGCTTCCCATGCCAGTCGAGTGGCTTGGAGTGGAGCGAGAGAGACGAGACGGCTGGGAGGCCTTAAACAATAGCAACTTGTGCTCCCCCGCAATGCGGCCTTATGTGGCAGCAGTTGCTGAATTAGCATAACTTGTCATAAGTTGAAAAATCTCATTAGGCTAAATTTTGTGGCTCAGTTCATTGTTGATGTTGTTGTTGCTGTTGTAGGTGATGTTGTCTTCATGAACGTTGATCATTTTTGTATTCGAAATTAACATTTATGGTCCATTGAGAGCTGGTGATACTCGATGCGGACTCCCTTCACTTTCAGCTGTTGTCTACTTGGCTAAAGGCCAATTAATTAGCATATATAAACAGCTAGAAGAAGAAGTAGAAGAAGAAGAAGACGAATAGAGTATTCGATTTTAATTGCCGTTTCTATGTCTAGGCCTTGTTGCTTCACATTCCAATTTTATGCTCTGTGGAGATTTTAGGTACTCACTCCCTCCTGCTACTCCTTCTCCTCCTCCTCTTTGGTTTTCTTCTTCATAAACATCAAATGCTACCGAATTTTGGGCTGGTGGGCGTCACATTAACTTAAACGATATCGATTAATTTGCATTTCGCTTTTACAAAAACTTTTACGTTTTTGCGTAATTAAAACGCCAAAGGTGCCACGCCCAAAGTAGCAGCTACTCACTCCTGCTCCCACCCAGCTGAGGCTTTTATAAACTCGCAAACTGTAGAAAAGAAACTGCAGAGAACAACAGGCAAACCAAACGAGGATACGACAGCGTCTGGCAAAAGTTGGCAGCCGAAACGAAAGAAGTCAACGCCGAGCTGAGGACAAAGTTTTATGCCAAAAAGTAATAGCCTATGCCTATGCCAGACTCCGAGCAGGGGCTGCCAGGCTGAGGGCGGCTGTGGGCGGGGCGCTGCCCTATGGAATATGAAGCAGCCGTAAGTAGCATTTAACAGTCGACTTATGGCCACGGCCAGTGGCTGCCCAGGGGTCGCAGACAAGCTAGCCAAGCCAGCCCAGCCAGCCCAGCCATGAAACCACACCCATCGCACCCCACAGCCCCACGAATGGCCTCCACACCAATGCAATTTGAACTTAATTTTGAAATGATTTTAATATTTCAGAAGGCCAAGCAAAGTGAAGACTGCTGCGAATTCCATTTTCATATTGTTTTTATCTCTTTGGTCTTCAACTTTTATGAAATTAGCTGTATATAGGTATATATATATATTTATGTATATGTAGCTATTTTTTGTGTGTTGCTTTAGAGCGACATAGGCTCCAGATTACTGATTATATAGTAAAAATACTTGAGGCACATAGGAAAAGAGTACATTTGGAAGATAGATAAATGTTGATTATAGCTGGATTAATTTATTATAGCCTAGATTAATTTATTACTAAAAGATCAGTTTCGAGTTGATGACAGACAGTTGATGGACAGACTAAACTAAACCCAA